GTAAGTAATCATAAATCAAAATGGTGATTAGACTTCATAGCACAGAAATACCTTGGCCAATCTAGTGTTAGCTGTACCTGTCTATTGTGCTCTTGAGGACCGCTTTTCTCGGTTCTGAAATGTTTTTCCTATTGATGCAAGCATACAGGGACCTTCCCAGGGCAGCCACCTGGCCAGTGCGACTGCCACGGGTTGGCCCAATCCCTTCCCATGGCGACCGGACAACAGGGTCATAATTCTGTAAAGTTTTCTATCAGTGGAAACATCGATTCTCAAACCGACAAGTTTGTCTTGGGTTACAAGTACTGTTGTTTTGAGTAGAAAAGCCAGGTGAAAGAGAAGTACTGTTGTGTTGTGTAGAAAAGCCAGGTGAAAGTGAAGTACTTGTTTTTTGTAAAAAAAGCCAGGTGAAAGAGAAGTACTGTTGTTTTGTGTAAGTCAGGTGAAAGACAAGTACTGTTGTTTTGTGTAGAAAAGTCAGGTTAAAGACAAGTACTGTTGTTTTGTGTAAGCCAGGTGAAAGACAAATACTGTTGTTTTGTGTGGAAAAGTCAGGCGAAAGGTTTTCATTTGACTTAAATAAAAGTGAATAAAAACATTAACAAAAGGTCTTAGCGTGGAAGTTCATCAGTGTTGGTATACATCATTGTGAATGAAGTCTAAGCTTTCTTTCCAACACTGGAATGAAAGTGGGACTTACTCCAAATTATCGGTCAACTTCCATCAACCTTGTGACGTGATCATCTGGACCCAATCCCCTCGACCTGCCTTTTGACATACAATCTGTACAGCTTTGTCATTATGTATTTTCGTGTTTGGGGTGCCATTTTTTTACTGTACATGTGGATAACTTCATCAGTGTCTAAGTCTAGGGGTATCTAACTTCCTTTGAAATTCACCTACAGAAACAAAGAAAATAGCATTTTAGAGGGTTTAAAATATCCCCCTAAAACTCTCGCACCTTCACTCTTGAGCCAGTCAACAGAAAGGTGCTGTTGGGCGTGGCACAGGCTAACAGACAGTGCTGAAATCAAAGGTGTCCCTATGGCCAGAGGCCACCAAAATTTTGTCTGGGACAATTCAATGTACACTTTCGGGAAATTTTGGGACAGTAGAAAAAATTTCAATTTTTTGTCGCCATGCCATTGTTACGATGTACATGTAGGTGCACAGATCGGCATTTAAACTGCTTTCGATAGGCAATTATGGATAGCATTACCAAAAACTTTGGCAAGAGGGGATAAGAATTCGTTCTATGTAAAGGAAAAGTTGACGTGGATAGCATTAGCAAAACTTTGGCAAGAGGGGCTAAGAATTTGTTCTATGTAAAAGAAAAAGATGACATGGATAGCATTAGCAACAACAAATGAAACTTCAGTTAACATTGGTGTCAATAAATTGAAGTAGTGTAGCACTTACTTGCTATAGTCAGTATTAAAGACCACATGACACCAAAATATAACCTTATCTAATTCTGTATCTGTATTTGTTTAGATGGTATAGCTGCCTCTCGGCGTAACACACCAGCTTCGCAGGCATGCGGCGCGGTGGCAGCTGGCTACATTACACCAAACGACTTGTTACACCTATTTTATTACTATTGTTCATAACAATAAAATGGCTATAGTTATACATAGTGGTCATGAGGGTTATGTATCGTTATGAATAATAGCCAAAAGTCATATATATGGTATAATAGGTAAAAATTAATATGCATAATTATATATAATAACCAAAATGGATATGCATAGTTATATATAATGGTTAAAAGGGATATGCATAATTATGTATAATGGTTAAACGGAATATACATAATTATGTATAATGATCAAAAGGAATATACATAATTATGTATAATGATCAAGAGGGATATACATAATTATGTATAATGATCAAAAGGGATATACATAATTATGTATAATGGAAAAACTAATATGTATAATCATACATGATTATGGATAAATATAGTATATTCATGTATAATTATGTATAATTGGACTATACCCTAGGGACTAATTAACACACTCCACATATTTGTCACCTTCTACTATGTACTCAGAAAAAATATAAACCTAATTGGGTAAAGCAATTTAGAGTTATTAGCGAGGAGTCCATAATTAAAGTGTTTTTCCATAATTAAAGTGCTGCTTGTTTAGTTTGAAAACCAGTATAGAAAAAACATTTGAATTTGTTCAAAAAGAGTGACAGTTATTATGCTAATCTGTCCCTGCCATTGTTTTCGGTGGCTGGACCGTCTAGGATGTTTATTAGTTTATGTGGTTATGGGGGTCAATTCACTATTCAAGCTGCTGGAGAAGCCACAGTGGGGAGTACTTCCTTATTGCGTCGCCCTGGGCACCGAATCCTCCAGTTTAATCATTGAAGATGACCCTAGCGTATCCTTTTGCAAATGCTTTTGACATCGCTTATTGTAAAATTACATCATTGAAACCACTCAAAACGGATGATCCATCGGTCTTGCTTTCTTAAAAAAAGCAAATGAGCGGTTTTGTAATTATTGAAGATGACCCTAGCGTATCCTTTTGCAAACGCTTTTGACATCGCTTATTGTACGATCAAGGCAATATCATGTAGCTGGCTGTTTTCTGTTGAATAGAATTTCAAATATCGTGAGGCATTGTTCAGAAGGTTAGAGGTCGCTGACCCAGCGCGTAAAACAGCGACAACATGTACTCAGGTTCGGGAGATCGATCCGTTAGGTGTAGCCTGGTATCCAGTCTGATCGTGGTCGGGGCCGTAAGAGCTCTGGCCCGCCCGCCTCACATAGGTTTCCCGGTGTGTATTTCACAAGAGATTGATTAGTCCTCCACGTGTTGGGGGGAAACCAAATCCCCAAGCATACTGTCTCTGATTAGCATAACACTCCTACCGGGACGGTCTGTTGCACTGGGCGGGGGAAGCTATTAGAGCCCCCGAAGACACAACCTGCCTGAACACCCCAATACCCCCAATCACGATAAGACTGGATACCAGGCTAG